AGATAGAGGTTTTATCTGCTTTGTGGGTCTCTAGTAAGTAGACACAAGGAGGTGAATTTTTAACTTGTATTAAAGATTGCATTTCCAACGATTCCAAGGGCTCTTGAGAGGCACATGTGAAATATGTACTGCCTTGAAAGAAATGAAAGAACAGCCCCGAGGAAGACTGAAAGCTCCTTGCCAGCCCCTCACCACAAAGCACAGCAGCAGGTGGACATACGCTACCAATTTAGGGGGAAATGTGCCCCTTTCCTGCTCTTGAAATGCCAGTGAGTGAAAGGCATCCAGTACTCCACAACGACTGGAGTCTTTCTGGGATAGCCTGACGGGCAACTCTGAGAACTGCATTAGTGGGATGCAAGCCTAGGTTTCCACTATAAAGAAAAGACATCACCTAGCATAAAGCCTGAATAAAGGTTTGGATCTCATCTAAAACGAGCGGAGCTGGAGAATCCTGAAAATTACTTTTCAAATCAGATGGTTGAAGTGTGTAAAGTCATACAGACTGAAATGTTTCGCAGAACCTCCTACAGTACTACAGAGAAAACCTTTTAAAATAAATGTTCCCCTTCCCCTATCGTAAAACACAGATAAAAGTTTACCTTGCATACAATCTCCAGCCCGTACGAATTCTCACCGCGACTGGAAGCGCCTCCAATTTTCTCCACTCTGTTGATTACACCTAAAGATGCATCTAGGACAAAAGGAGGGTCCTGTAGACAGTTGAAATTTGTGAGTTTAAAATGGGAGGGGGAAAAATCCCCTGCTCCTGCTCCCTTATGCCTATATTCCCAAACATATAGCTATGATTCACACAGAATTACTCTCAAAGAACACCCAGGTCTAACGATTGAATAGCCAACAAAAGCAGATGGTTTCAAAAGCTTACCCGTTCCATGCTTTTAAAATACAGTCTGTAATTGGTAACAGTAAGGGTTCCTCTGATGGCTCCAGTGAAGGGGCAGATGTAAGTAACATCCTTAGCTTAAAAAAAAAGAAAAAAAGTTATTAATTTAGGGGAATAAAATTATGACAGCAACAGTATTTGAGGGCTCTACTTTTCAGATGATGGAATGAAAACCAGCTTAACCTGAGGTTCTAGCCTAGAGCTAACACGCAAGTTTCAGTTTTGTGGAGAAAGTAAGAGTTTAGGTATAAATTGAACTCCAGGCAAGTACCATCACCTAGAATCCTGTATTTGCACAGAACTGCTACCCCTGTGAAAAAGCCAGTATTCAGCTGCAAACTGTTTATTCTTACTGAGCAATGCACTGCCAGGAGCTGAGAACACCGTGCATGAAAAGAAGAGATGATTCCTGCCTGGATGCATACATTTGAAGCTGACAACACTCTGCATAAAAGCTAAGGATCATCCACAAGCTGGTTTGTGCCACCAAGGATAGGAGGAGGCAGTTCTCCTACTTGTGGCTTTTAGGATGCTTGGGTTCTTCTGCACACCCTTGCACACAGAGTCGGCCCTGGGATGAAGGTCCTCATGCTAAAAGGAGCAGAGCTACAACGATTTCCAGCAGCCACGGATCTGCATAGCACCCAAATTCCAGTGATTTTAAGTCTGAAGTCAGCAATCAAGTTACTCTGCAACAATTCAATTATTTTAGAGCCTGAGTGACAGTGACTCAAAACAGCTCCCTTCTTAAAAGGCCTCAAATATTTTGCACTTGTTCCAGCAAAAGGCAAGAGGTGCTGCTGGTTTTCCACAGCAAACACCTCCTTAACTGCCCTTCTGTTTTACATCAATTAAAAATGCCAACGTTTAAGTCATTCCTTCTCCCCACCCTCGCTGCCCAATGGTGACCCATCACATCTTCTGCCACCAAAGCAGTTGGCTGGCTGTGCCATGGCAATGGTTTACACTATCACCGACCAGTAATGACATCCCTCAAACAGAGATCCTTTCAGAAGGAGACCCACTGACCAGAGCTGCCAGATCCACGAAAGAACCCTCTGAATCATCTTAATAACCTCAAGCCTCCAAACCCTATGGGATCCATTTTGCAAGGGCTGTGTGAAGTCAGGAGGACAGCTCGCCTCCCAGTCAGATGACAGCCACCACGCACAAGAAGCATGAGGCTGCTGGGGTGTCAGGATGGGGACTTAAACTTCTTCTACCTTTATCCAAGATTTAGCCTTGAGGGAGGGAGGAAGAGAGATTGCCTTACTCCAGGGCACTGGCAACCGATACAATTAAATCCTCCTCACGTCAGCTCTGCTTCTGCATAGTCTTCACTGACTTTCAAGATTTGGATATAGAGAATGATCCTTAAAAAGTCAGGAGTGATTAATTCAGAGCAAAATATGTAGCACAGAATTTTTGGTGAAAAATACATACACAAACTAGCATTTTCATTATTTAATTATTTATTTTAATTTACATGTGTTTGTTGGAAGGACAGTTAAACACAAAATGCTTCTAGCTAGCTCTAATTAAACCAAGTGTTTCATTACTGGCTGATTACTAATCACTTCTTTTCAAAGACTAGTTTGACAGAGATTTGAAAGCAGACTTATGAAGGGTAATTAAGGTAAGGGTGGCCTGCCTGATTTTTTCACTAGAGTTCCCATTATTCAAAATGTAATCTTAAAATGTTTTAAAAAAATAAACCAAAATCTACTAATAAGAGAAGTGTGCATTTACATCTGAAAAGGAACAGGATTTCTGAGTAAAGAGGAAAGGTGCTAGAAAAATGTTTTCCAGGTAATGAATCCCAGGCACAATCTCAAACACTGGCCTTGCCAGCTTGTAAACCACATCACCTTTCACGTTTACATTTTATTAGCTTAGTTTCCCAAGGAAACAATTTTACTTAATTACACTGCACACGTACACACGTACCTACTCACACGGCCTGTCTGATCTTAGCCCTACCACAGTTGTGTGATTTCAGCAGTCTCTAACTGATCAATAGGGATCTCCAAGGCATCAAGATCCTCCACTGTTTGTGAGAACGGATGCCAGGTATGAGACAGGTTGTATTAGTGCCACCACCAAGGGAAAGTCTAACAAGCCCAGCCTTTGGTAGATATAAGAGAATCCATATGGGAGAAAGATACTGTAAACCTGGATTCATTCATTACCCTGCTTATGGAATTCCTGTCTTTTATAGGGCCAATCTTACTCTAGATTATTAGGTTGGCAGAAATAATTTTTCTTCCCCCTCCTTCTAAAATACAAAGAGAATTACATTTGCCTTTCTTGACACTTCTAACAGGAAATAATTATTGCTGAGGAATAATGAAGATTATTTTTTTTGCTACCTTTAACTTCTTGCTGGACCATGCAGCTGCTGTCTGGCCTACTTCAAAAGCCACTCAGTCTTACAGACTTATGTGGCCCATCACATCATTTGACAACAGACAATACTGAATCATAGAATCATGGAATGGTTTGGGTCGGAAGGGACCTCAAAGATCATCTAGTTCCAACCTCCCTGCCATGGGCAGGGACAAATACTGACAACTCTGATCTCTTAAACCATTCCCCAGGGACCCTTCAAAACATAGTCTTGCTCTCAGAGCTAACTGTGCCTGTGGAGTGAGTTAGATGTCAGTCTGCAGTGCATGGTCGGAGTACAAGTTCAGAATCCTTAGGAAAGGAGTAGAGAAAAGGATTGAACACTGAGGTGGGATTTTTTTAGTTTGTTTGTTTTTAGTTTTGGGGTTGTTGTTGTTGTTGAGTGGGGTTTTTTTTGAGTAGGGCATTAGGGTTTTTTTTAGGACTGAAGTTGCTTTCTTCCATATCATTTTAAGAGGAAAGCAGCATGTTAAACTAGTGAATGCAAAATCTTTCACAGAAAATTAATCAAGAGGCTTACTCAAATTTTCAGACTAAAGTGCATCAGCAAACCTGATGCATATCAGAAAGTCTGGATGAAAAAAAAAACAAAAGACCCATCCCCATATCACAGCAAGTTCTCTGAAACAGCACCATATCCTCTCCTGCAGCTCTCAACAGAACTTCGACACACAATTGTGCTGCGTCGACCTGGGAAGTTACCCTTTGGCAAGCACAACTTGAAACAGCTGACCCATGTCCTCTCAGCAAATGCAAAGCTGTACAACCTATCTGAAGGCAGGCTGAGAGAGTTGGGGCTGTTCAGCCTGAAGAAGAGAAGGCTCCAGGGTGACCTTATAGCAGCTTTCCAGTACCTAAAGGGGGCCTACAGGAAAGCTGGAGAGGGACTTTTTACAAGGGCGTGTAGTGATAGGACAAGGGGCAATGGATTTAAACTGAAAGAGGGCAGATTTAGGTTAGATATAAGAAAGAAATTTTTCACTCTGAGAGTGGTGAGGCAGTGGAACAGGTTGCCCAGAGAAGTTGTGGATGCCCCATCCCTGGCAGTGTTCAAGGCCAGGTTGGATGAGGCTTTGGGCAACCTGGTGTAGTGGAGGGTGTCCCTGCCCACGGCAGGGGGGTTGGAACTAGATGATCTTTGAGGTCCCTTCCAACCCAAACCATTCTATGATTCTATGATTCTATCTCAACACTCATGCTAAGGTATGTTGAATTGCCTTGTACTTGCTACATGCTAAGAGGAGACATATAGTTACCTTGGCTCATGTGATGTGCAATAACTTGATTAATGAAACAACCTGCTCATGGTTCTCAAAACATCAGACATTTGCTGTTGTTGATCAATGGCCACCAAGATATTTTGCTCTATGGATATTCTATTTCATTAGTAAACAATAAGAAATTTCCTCTTCACATACCCATGTCTTTAATCGTTTCTCCTGGTAGCAAAGGTGGCTCTTCCATTTCAGCCAATTTATTAGTCTCCCTCAGGACCTAGGTAATAGGTAGAAGTAGAAAAATAAATTCATTACGTTTTCATAAATCAAGAAGTTTACACTTACTTGCAACGAGTCAACAATATTAAGGACAACAAATGTTCAAAGATCTTGAGGTACTGCCTAGTGTCTCAGCCTCTGAAAGGTCAAGACAAAGCACGTGAGAGATCTCGGTGCAGTCCTCGAGCATACCACAGGGCCATGCAGAAGTGTCTAAAGCAAGAATGTCTGCGATGGAGAGGCTCTGCAAGGTAGGCTGCATGATTTGGCAGTATGCTTCCTAGGTGGCTGCTTTCATGCTCCAACCTTCTCCTCCCCAGTCCATCATCACAAGTCAAACTCTCTCACAGTTACATACAGATTCAAAGAGATCAGTTCCTTTCCCAGTTGAAGTGGTCAACTATTACCATGATGATGTCAAGTAGAGCAGTTTCCAGTTTACACTGGGCAAAGTTAAAAAGGACACCCTGTTACACCACTGCCTTTACTGAGGGCCAGACAACTGCCAAGATCCCGATTTGGCGCAGTAGCAGGGACTTGTTACAAGTGACTTTGATAGGCATGTACAGGAGCTAGTTTCCATTGGGTTTTTTGGCTGCGAAATGACCCCTCCTCCACTTACCCTTGTGTTAAAGTTATACCACAGGGCATTAGTTTTCACAGGTACAATTGCATTTACACAAGGGTTTCCACAAGAACAGCTGCTATTACGAGCAGGAAGACATTTTAGGGAAGCACAGCTCCAACTACGAAAACATAACCTGAGGTCTAAACCTATGGTCAGAACTCGGGGAGAAGAGCACATGTGAGTGACCAAGATTAAGACTACGTGGCCAAATGCAGATGGATTTAATCATATTGCCCATGCTTCAGACCAGCCAAACAACCACAACCACAGCAACACACCAGCTTCTCAACCTAACACAGACAGAAAGCAGGTAAGTTAGTCCAGACTCTGCCTCATCCTGTAGCAACCACAAGACTTAGGGTTTAAAGTTGGCCTGCATCCCATCTGGTGGAGACAGGCAGAGAGAGCTCGTGTCTGCTCACAACTGAATGCGCGGACTCACCCAAAATGCTTTCTTTATCTTAATGTGAGGAAAGAAAAAGAATTGTTTTAATTTGATATCAGGAAATCCCTGCAGAGAAAATTCAAAGACATGGCCTAAAGTGGCACTCTAGAACCTGATACATCTGTGGTCAGCTTTCATGTTGAAAGTGATCAAGCCAGAGGGAGAGCCTCGGGGAAGAAAAATTCTCTAAACTATGCAAAAAAAGGAAAATAAAAACCAAAGAAACCTCATGCCACAATAAAAGCACGTTCCAGCATTTTCACACAACAGATTGATGTATAGATGAAAAGATTAACAAGATCAAAGCCTCATTGAGAACAAAACGTACATTTTAAAAAATGCATTCGAAAGACTCTTAAAAACAATAATAATAATAATAATAATAATAATAATAATAATAATAATAATAATAATAATAATTAAAGCAAGCACAGTCCTGGCTTCCTAACAGGAACCTCACAACTGTACCCACTTAAACCAGCTCTTACCAGGGAGGCTGCCAGAGCAGCCGGACTGGCGTCTACAAGATGGGTAAAGGGAGGTCACCATAGACAGACCTCACTGGCAGCAACTTGCAGGGAAGCTTTTCCTCCTCCACATCAGCAATACCAGTAAAAACAAGGTTTTGCTGGTACAACTATCGGAAGTCTATTCTGAGGACCTCTTGTCAGCACAGCTGTGTTGGCCACAGATCACACATCCCATCAAAGCCCTGACTGACAGCCTCTCTGACAAAAGCCTGTGATGTAGACCCACTCTCAACTCCCTGTGTCAATTTTTGCGCTTGAGTAACAGCCTTGAAATTAGCAGGATAACATCTGGATTACGACAAATGAGATGGAAGCTTCTGGCTCATTAGTCTGTAAGCAGTGGTTGTCTCTGTGGCCTTTTATCTTGGAAGGACATTAGTAAAAATACACTCTGCGCTCAGGACACGATCGCAACTTCTTTGAGAAGGTCCGTACCCCAAACGGGCAGCAGCTGCTGCTAGGATCACTTTGGTCAACAGCTGGACTGGCTGCTCTCCTGCAGATGTCAGTGGGAGCACAACCAGCAGTAAACATTCGGAGGACTGGGTTATATCTTAAGCCAAAGCAAATATGAGATATGACACACAGAAAGCACATGACAAACAGCTGCCATGATCCCTGGGTGGGCAGTGCTAAGGTGGGGTTTAAACACGGTACTGCGGGTGGGGGAGAGAAGGAGGGAAAAGGCAAGCAGTACAAAAGACGAAGACCTCCATGTCAACACCATTCTGCTTAAAGGCACGGTTGAAAGCTTTTTCGGTTTAAAAATTGGCTCTTCTAAGTCTAATGAAATCCATCTGCTGCCTCGCACTCTCTGAAACATCGAGTCTTCAGGGTCAGAGGAAAGGACGAGCGATCCAAATCTGCGCTCACTTCCAACACAGGGCAGTGGATGGATGGCCTCCTGGAAGCACAGCACTTCAAGGTCAACAGCTTCTGCCCCCTTGCCTCCACTTGGGGTTTTTTTTTGGTACACAGTTGAGGACTAAACTGCTCTTTTCCTCATCCCCCAACTGACCTCAGCCACACGACCTACCTCAGGTAACACAGCACCGACTGCCTTCACGATGATTTCAAAGTCAGCACAAGCACATCACTCCTGGATAACAGTCATCCTTCCCAAGAGGCTGAGACAGACATCGTCAGAAAGCACAGCACAAACACTTCTCTGGTGTGCTGGGCTTTGCAGCGTTTGCCCAGCTCTAGACCTTGAATAGGCCTCCTAGTTGAAACATGAACACTTGGAACTTGTCCTGGCAGGAACTGAGAAATGAACGGTAGGCATTTTCCCGAAATCCACCTCCATCAACAGCTCCTAAAAATTGATTCACAGAAACACAATCTGTGTGCAGCTGACAGTGCAGGCAGCAGGCACAGGAGAAGACATCTGGGGCAGCGCTAAAGGACAGGGGGTGGCAGGAGAGAGAAAAAGCGGGTGGATAAGGAAAGAGGAGTTTTGGAACCAGATCAAGGGGAAGAATGGGATGAGACAATGCACATGGAGCTCTGGGAGAACGCTAACACCATAGATGGACCCTCTGCCCCTTATATGACTAAAGAAATTACATGGAAAGCTCCTCCATCTTACTGCCATCCTCCTCTGCCCACCTCAAATCCAAAAATTGCTCATTAAGCTGTCAGAAAAATCTTTTTTTTTTTATATTAGCCTATTTTCAAGACTAAAAATAACACTTCAGGACGCAGATATAGCCCTCTGCCGATCTTGCAAAGCAAAATTAAGAGCTCCAGTGAGGCTAGGCAGCAGGTGGGGATGCCAGGGACATGACTACAGCAGCCCAGCTTCAGAGGAGTGAGGGCTGGTTACTGTGCATTAACAGTATTGAGGTGGGTACCACACCCATACGTAACTGGAATGCTTCACCTCTCTGTGCCTTGGGTTTTTAAATTCTTTACTCTGAGGGTGGAGAGGCAGTGGAACAGGTTGCCCAGAATAGTTGTAGATGCCCCATCCCTGGAAGTGTTCAAGGCCAAGTTGGATGAGGCTTTGAGCAATCTGGTCCAGTGAAAGGTGTCCCTGGAAGGATCATCCCTAGATGACCTTAAAGGTCCCTTCCAACCCAAACCATTCTATGATTCTAATTTTAAACTGTTCAGTGGGAACAAAAACGAAGAGTGCTTTGAAATATGCAATGAAGGTCACAGCCAGAGCTGGGCAGAATCAGCATTACTTCAGAATAGGACCATGTTGAAAGAGACCCATGCTGGCCCTGGCCATCACAACCATTACTAAGGTGGTTTCTGTAAGAAACAAATACAACCACCACAAATCAGTAGACTACACTGCCTTGCCTCTAACTCAAACAAGGTCTTCGTTATCTTTTCCCCACAAAAATCTCACGCTTGGTTAACTGAATCTCCCAGCGAATTAACAGTTTAATTACACACCAGAATAACTTTATTTCTGTCTTTTACCAAGTAACTTAACCTACCCATTGCACCCATCAGCAGTTCCCCCTCTAGATAAAACAGCTTTCCAGGATACTGAGCACAGGAGCACCTTAGCACCTAAACACACATCCTGCCTCAGCTCAGAGAGGGTGTGAGGGCTTCGCGCCCTTCACCACCTACCTTTGTTCTCTGCTCAAGCAGTGACTTGGCAGAACAAACCCACACTTGCCACATTTAACAGCTGCTTCTCTTACTTCAGGATCCCACCTTGTGTTAGCTCCAGCCCACTTACCCATGGTTGAAGGTGCAGAGCTCTCTTATGCCCTTCCCACCTATAGCAGCCAAGGCAGGGAAACTCTGGTGCCGTACTGTTGACTCAACCTCTAGATCTCAGCAACAAAACAATCATCTCCTTTGCTTGCATGTATGGGGTCAG